ACTACACTTAGAATAACCAGTTGGGGTTTAGGCTTTGTAATGGAGAGTAGTTATTATTTATTATTTATTCAGGTCTTATTCAGCTGGTGGAGTTCAAAGGAAACTGAGTTCAAAGGAAACTGAGTTCAAAGGACACTGGTTACTCTGTATTTTAAAGAGCTAGCCTGGCGTAGGGAGCAGTTGATAATTAACAGCATATTTTAGGAAGCTATTTGTTCCATTTTGTGGTGTTTCTTCAGTTTGGGTCTTGCTATTGTAGTTCAGCCAGGCCTTGAACCTACGTTTAGCCTATGTTAGCCCTGAACTCATGGCTGTTCTCCTGCCTCAGCCTCCCTAAAGCTGGGATTACAGGTGTGTACTCCCATACCTGGCTGGGTTTTTAATCTTTTTCCTGTGATTGCTTTTGCATTTCTTAATTAATGGCTTGAATTAGCTATTAACTCTGTGTATGTGCTATTTTTTTGTAACCAGCTGACTATCTTGGGCCATATACCTTATTGTCTATTTATAAGCCTATTAAGTAAATTATATTTCATAATGGCAGACAGGAAGCAATAATTATAGATTAGTTTAATGTTATTTTTATTCTCTACATTGCTTTTTTTTCCCCCTCCTTCCACCAAATTTCTTGTTTATCTTTGTTTTGGTCTCTAGCTTTCATATTCTAACTTTAAGTCTGGTAGTCAGCTCTTGACTGTCTGTCCTTAAGTATGGTCAAAGTGCTGGTCCGTGTATTTAAACTGAACTTCATTGTGGAGAACTAGCAGTTTCCTGAGGGATACTCCCAGAATCAGGATGTGGCTATCTGTACAGCAGAATCCTCTAGCTTCCTACCTTGGCAATAAAAGGGTTTTATCCCAACTTCCTAGGCATGGATACTACCATCTTTGTGTCTAGTTCCTGAACTTTAAATGCAACATTTACTGCTGCCTCTCATTGCTGGCTCCACAGCCTCTCTTTGGACTCCCTTGAGTCTAGAACCTTTTGATTTGTTGTTGTTGTTGTTGTTGTTGTTGTTGTTGTTGTTGTGAATGTAGGGGAAGGGAAGGAAGGCTTGGGAAGAATAGGGGTTTGGTGCAGTTATAACAAGAAATTCACAGCAAGTACATGCTATAAGTCTTCTGTTGTGGCAAGTACATGCTCTAGCTCACTGTGTTGTGGCTTGTGTGTAGATGGCCTCCGACGCCTCATGTGGTCATAGGTGGGGCTTTTTCAGATCCAGATCATGACTGGATCTAGAGTGTGTGATGCTGGGATTGATTCATGGTATAATGCTGGGCTCAAGGGCACTGAGGTTAAGGGTGTGAGTGCTATCTGCTCTAAGAAGTTTGGATAAACTCAGTGGGTCAGAACAGATTAGGAGAGGTTGCTTGACCTTGTAGGGAGAGGATGAGATTTGGGGTCACACTGCTCGTATTTTTTGTTGTACCTTGACTTTTATGATCAGTGGTCCTTTGGTCTTTCCGGGGTACCAGGACTGGCATTGGCTTCTCTATTTGCAGATGTAGGTGTCATTATTTTTTCTGATCTGCTCTTAGTTCCCATGTCCATCTGCTTTTTCTCCTACCAAGTTTTGTTGACAATTTTTTTTTCCTGGTCCTTGAGTGTCTAAACCTTTTTTTCCCTTTTCTCATTTCAGTAAGAGTTGAGGAAGGAGTATATCTTAGTTACTTCTTTCTCATTGCTGAGACAAAATACCAAACAAATACAGTTAAAGGGAGAAAGGGTTTATTTAGTTCACAGTTTGTAGAGATTTCCGTCCATAATCAGCTTTCTCTCAGGCAGGGTGGCATGGCAGAGGGGCATTGCAGGGGAGAACCAGTTCATGGCAAGCAGAAGACAGCAAAAGCAAGTAAGCAAGGGACCTTGACATTTTATTCCTTTCTGTCCCTTTTATTTTATCCAGATTACTTACACCCTTAATCCTAGTGCCCTTGATCCTAGCATTGCACCATGAATCACTTCTAGCATCACAAAAATATACATTTATTTCTCCAAGATTCACTGACTTATGCATTATTTTCTGAAGGATGTTTCAGGAATATTTTGATTGAATTGAACATCTAGTCCCCCTGGTGACTACTTTGAAGTTGAATATTCGTTTGATATTACTTTATTACAGGCTTTGGACTTATGGAATTCTCTTTGTCCTCTGAAGCAGTATTAAAGTAGGTTATTCATAAAATTGTTTCTGGCTACTTCTCCAACTTCATGTCCAGTCTCTGAAGACACATCTACGTTTCCTTAATGGTTAGAAATCCACGAGTACCTCTTTGCCTCTCTCCATGTTTTCCTTCCCCTTCTCCCCTACCCTGTTGTTAATCCCTTAGATACTTTTTCTGTTAAGTCTCAAGTAATCTTGAAATTTAGTCCTGGGACTATTGGAGACAGTGTGCCAGGAAAGGACTGGGGAAGTGGATGCCCCTATCTGGTTAGACCATTGTTTTTGAGTCCTTGCCCAGGATTTGGGATTAAGAATCAGCTCATTGTGAAGGTAACCTTTCCTCTTTTCCAAGGAAAACAGACATGTACAGAACGATTTCCAAGTGCCACCTGGGTGTCAGACATTCTTCTCACCCTTGTCTTATAACAGCAGTCCTGCCTCTTCTTACCAGGATCCATTCTGTCACCTGGAATGGCTGCCCCTTTCAGTATCTAAAGGGTTTGTTGTAGTTGTAATCACCTTAGCACCAAGTGGCTGACTTTTCTCTTTGAGGGAGGTCCTGTGTTGGTTGAGCTTTCAGCATCAGTCCCTGTCCTTGGCATACTTGACTTGGACAAGTAGTAGCTAGATTAGCCACAGTGAATAGGAGCCAGTTTTGTGTGTTGAGATGTCATTTATATTTTTCTTTCCCCTCTTCCTTTTTTCTCTTTTTTTCTCCTGGAGCTGGGGATCCAATTGAGAGCCTTGTGCCCATTAAGCAAGTGCTCTAACACTGAGCTATGCCTTCGATCCCTGCATTTTTCTTCTTCAGAGTGAGGTTGAACATCTCATATGGTTAAAAGTCATTATATGTCCATCTCTGAACTTTGAGTTCAGAGTTTCTATAAGTTTTAGTCCTTTCTGTATTTTACACTGTTCTTTTTATATGGGATATAAATTACATATATTTTCCCAGTATTTAAATTTTTTTCTTTGGTATTGTTCCTCATGTAATTTTGTTGTAAAAGAACTAGCTTTTGTAAGGCTTAAAATTTGGTAGGTTTAGCTATTTTCTTATTTTTTTTTAATAGGGATGGTCAAGCACCAGAAAGTAATTTGAAGAACTTTAGTACTGTTGAAGTTTACAAATTTATATAGGAAAAAATTTGTATCTTTGTAATACACATTTTTCCTGTCCAAGGCTATGGCATTTTGTTTGTTTGTTTTGTTTTGTTTCTTCATAAGATAAAGCATTTGTAGGCTTAGACATTGATTTCACCTGCTGTCACTAACTTTCCCATATTATCATGGATAATCTTCTTAGGTTTTATACTCCCTCTCTTTCAGTGTTGAGTCTCATCCTTTTTAGGACAAAATTCCCTGTTATGTTTTTGTCAGCATTTCTTTGGTGGGAGACACTTCTCCCAGGACATATTAGAAGCTCTGTAGGTTGGCTTCATACCCTCTGGAGAATGTTAAGTTTGTGTAGGCTGCTGTCATTCTAGGTAGAAAATTAGAAACTTGGTTGAGTATCAGTACTTTTCCCCTGGTTATTTTGGGAATATCGTCAGCCAGCAGCTTAACCAGAGCTCTGGATTTCTGCTGTTGCTTTTGAATATTGTTAACCACCAGATCTAGGTTGACCTTAAGAAGTCAAAATACTGTGGAAAAGGGAAGAACATACCACTTGGGGAGACCTGCCCTTGATAGGCAGGCTGTGGGAGGAAATACATGAAAGAGTACTTAAGTGGGACACAAATCAGTTACCTCTGTCACAATCCTGGAAAGATAAAATTATTTAAATAATGTAGACATGAGAGCTTCCTGATTGGGAGCACGTGGAAGTCTTGGGAAGGTGGCTTTGTAGAAGCTACATTTCCCGGCCTCATTCTTGCTCTGTGAGGCTTTTCTGTTTGATTGAGTTGTCTCTGTGTTTCTTCTTCTTTTTTTTTTTTTTTTTTTCTCTTTCAGTATTGGTGCTTGAACCCGTGTCTTTGTATTGAGCTCTATTCCTAGTGCTTTTGAGACTGGGTCTTGCTAAGTCCTTAAGTTGCCTACATTAAGCTTGAACCTTTGGTCCTTCTGCCTCAGCCTCCCAGTGTGGGTATCTGCATGTGCCACTAGAATTGTCTCTTTTGTAATACACTGATTATACTTTCTGAAGATAACCACCATGTTAGTGAATATTCCACCTAATGATGCTAGTGGTCTAATCATCCCCAGCCTTTGATCTTCCTGAGAGCATATATATATCAAGAAGTAAAGACAAGCCATTGTTCTTGTCCCTGGTTTAAGTTCCTGACACAGAATAAAAGAGCATAATAAAATAGTTGCTTTTTTCACTCCTTCAAAAAGTTCTCAGCTAAATCTTACATCAGTGAAATAGTCTCTTTGAGAAGCTTTGTGGGTTTTGTTTTCTTTCAGTGTAGCTCTTTCCTTCTGTACGTTGTGAGTGTTAAATACCTTCTCCAGGGTTCCCTGATTTTTGAAAAAGTTCTGTTACCATAAGTTATTGAGCTTTCCTGTGACTTTTGCCTTTTGCTTGGTACCTGATAATAGAAGCTTCTGTGATAAAGTATTTCGCAAATCCAATGTTTAGATACATAAACTTAGACTTCTGACCGCAAAGCTGATCTTCTATGTGGTACTGAGTCCTTCATGAAAGATTTTACTTCTGTCCATCCTGTTTATTATTTCTTCTTGTCTCCTCTGCTTCCCCCACTGGTTATTAACTTTATGAAGAGAAAGGAGGCAGTGTGAGAGACAAGAGGTAATAAGTTCTACAACATCTGAAAAGAAACAGTAGTACTTGCAGTTTTCTCGTGGAGCTGATTCCATGCTCGCACTTTGTGTTTAGATGGCGTGGTCTATGCCTGGGGCCACAATGGATACAGTCAGCTGGGCAATGGGACGACCAACCAAGGCATTGCCCCAATCCAAGTGTGCACCAATCTCTTGATCAAGCAGGTTGTTGAAGTGGCATGTGGCTCACATCATTCAATGGCTCTGGCAGCTGATGGCGAGGTAAGTGTGCTACATTAGTCTTCCTTAAAATGTTGTGGTAAAAGGCACATGAAATTTATTGTCTTAACCTTTTATATTTATATAATTTTTGCAATGCTGAGGATCAAACCCACGACCTGGCACATGCCAGACAAGCACTCTACTTCTGAGCTATACTCTAAGCCCCCATTTTTTTTTTTAATGCAGTTAAATTTGGGCAGCATAATGAATAAAACAACATTGCTGTGCAGGTGTATAAAATGTCACACATGTAGTTGCATTCTCTTAATGAATAGAATGATTTGTTCTAATGGTGTTTGTAAATAGGATCTCAAATCTGCATCTTGTACAGCAATTAACCACTAAGAAGAATATATGCAGTGTGTTATTTGTTGAATCTGTACTTCCAATTTGATTTGAAACTGTCTCATTGCTATCTGTTTATCAATAAAATTTTGAAAAAAAAATGTCACACATGACACTGGGTGTGGTGACAACAATGTGGTGCCTCAGTTTCCCTCTCTGTGTGAGGAGAACAAGCCCTACAGTCCCAGCTGCTGTTGCTGTCACTGTCCCTGTCCCTGTTATCCCTGTCTGAGCTCTGTGCACTAGCCCCAGGCAGCTCAGTCAGTATAGTTTCCACGTACCTGATGGTGTCACTAAGGCTCACACCTGTGAGGTCTCCTGCCTCTGCATCCTTGGTCCTCTGCTGACTGCTGTCCCCATGCCCCACCCCCTCTGGGACAGCTAAAGTCCCAACCAGTGCCCCCTCAGCACTCTTAATCTCACAGTTAAATGACATTAAATATTTCCACATTGTTATGCAATTACAGCCACCACCCATGCACAGAACTGTATTCTTTCTGAAGAACTGAAACTATATCTGTCAAGCGTTAACTTCCAACATTCCTCTCTCTAAGCTCCCGGCAACCATTCGTTTTGTTTTGTTCTTCTATTTGTACATATTTGCCATATATAATGATCACATTAGTCACAGGGAATTTGTAATATATCTTATTTTTCCCCCATGCCCCTCTTGTTTCTTTAACCCTTCATTCTCTCACCATTTACCAAAGCTTTGTTTCCCTTTTTCTTTCCATTGACTTCTGATCATTCTAATATTCTGTTGGTTTTTTAAAATTATTTTTTTGAGAAAGAGTTTCACTATGCAATTCAGGCTGATCTTGAATTCACTTTACAACTCAGGCTGGTCTTGAATTTGCAGCAATACTCCTGCCTTTGCTTCCTGAGTGCTGGGATTATAGATGTGAACCACTATGTCCAGCCCTAGTCCATTTCTTAATTATTTAAGATTATACTCCCCATTATGACATAAAAGGCAGTAACATTTTAAGGGAACTTCAAATATTTGAGAAGTACTTAAGAATGATTGTTGAGCTGGGCCGGGGAGATGGCTCAGGGAATAAGCGCTTCCCTGGCAAGTGCAAGGGCCTGAGTTCAATCCCTGGTTCTGCAAAAAAAAAAGAATGATTGTTGAAAGTAGACAGATTGGCTGCCCATTTGTGCAACTGGCTGGATTTATAGCCAGCTTGTAACCTAACCTGCCTCATGTGCTACTTTGGATAATTGTGCTAAATATTTGTGTTGTAAAACTAGATATTCTTGGGAAAACACTTTGAGAAATTGTTATGTTACTTCTTTTGTACCTGTGAAAGGAATCTTTCATGTGGGTTTCATAGTCATAACACACACCCTTTGAAGACATTAGTAGAGGTTGGACTTCTGTTGCCTTGAGCAGCATCACACACATGAACTCAGAGAGTGTTGACAGAAGAGACAATGAATTATGGAACCCAAACAGGCTGTATGAGGACTATTTCCTGAAGGCGAGTGAAAGAGAGTGGAAATGAAGTCTTCAAAATTCTGTCAGTGATGGAAGAAGTTATGTAGTCTACTGCCAACACCCCCTTTCCTAACTCCTTCTCTCTAGTCATGTTTGTTTAATAGTCAGTGGAAATTAACTGTGTAATTAAATTATAGTGGTTTTTCTAATTTATTCTCCATCTTTGTTGCTAGATTTTTTTATTTAAAAAATTGTTTGGTTGCTAGTTTTAAGAGATAATTATGTTTCTCTGCACTAAAAAAATGTAGTTTTCATTTTTTTATATTTTAATAATTTTATTGAGAAAGAAGTAGCAATAAGAGTTTCAAAACAGGTTAGTAGTACAGTTACAATAATTAATACATTGTATATTGTTGTCTTTGTAGTAGTTGTTCCTAGTACAAGATGCAGCCATGATATCTTGTTTAAACACTGTTAGTTCAAAACCTTCTCATTGAACTAAGAGAAAGTAGGTATATATTTATGCTATTTTGTGTGTATATATAATATATAT